GCTTCAGTGCGACATAATGAAGATTTGTTGAATGAAGATTTAGCCAAGAAATGTCGTTTCCCAGTAACTCATGGAGCAACATATGACTGTTCACATACCAAAGCATATCTACTTCTTCAGTCTCACTTTTCGCGCCTTGAACTTCCTTCCACCGATTATTATACAGATTTGAAATCCGTTTTGGACCAAGCAATCCGTATTATCCAAGCTATGATCGACATTTCATCAATGAATGGCTACCTTGTTGCCACTTTAGGTTTAATTTCAATCTTGCAAATGATTATTCAAGCTCGTTGGTTTGATTCTCCACCCTTCTTAACCTTACCTCATGTTGATGAAATTGTTTTGCCTCAATTCAAGCGATTTCTTTCCTTACATTTGCCTGAATTAATATCAATTGTTGATAGTAAAGGATTTGCATTTTTAACAAGACATCTGGACAATATGTTAGATGTAAAACAAATTAGAGATATTTATCAAACAATCAATGGATTACCATTGATAAACTTAAAGGTGACCATTAAGAGAGCTGACGATGAAAGTCGTGCCGTTGATGTTGACCTCGATTTACCTGATACCTCAATTAAAGCACGTCATTATATTGAATTGGAAGCTGATACTGATTATTTGATAAATTTCATGGTTTCACGACCCCCAAGACCTGAAGCTAAACCTAGGAAACATGTTTTTGCGCCGAAATATGCCAAAGCTAAAGATGAAAATTGGATATTTATTATTGGTGATTCTAATACTCGAGAGTTGATTGCTCTTAAGCGCTCTGGTTTCATTGGAAATAAACCAATGACTATAAGTTTGATTATACGTACACCAACACAATACGGTCGATTCATTTATTCACTCTATCTACTGAGCGATGCTCTGATTGGATTGGACCAACAATACGATTTAGGAATAGATATTGTTTCTAAATCGGGACCATGAGTCGTTCTGTCATCTTTTGTTATTTCTTAATTCCTGTCATCAAACCCGGTTGTTTAAAAATTTGAAAATTTGCTATATAAGATTCAAGATCTGAATTAGCACAAAAAAATTGTAAAGGTGATCAAATTTTTCCGTTTTGTAAAGAAAAATGTGATATTCTGATAGATGAAAATATTTATAAATTATTGATATAAATTAAATGCGTTGCTGAAATCAAGAATTACTTAGAATTTAATTCTT